TGGGAGGCCAGGGCCAGGGGGAGAGTGGGAGGGAGGCGGGGTGGGCAAGAGAGCCGGAGAAGTGAGCCTCCAGGGAGCGGGGAGGGGGCAGGAGGTTCCTGTAAACGACCGACAAAGTTTGGGGCACTGAGCGAGATGGGGTGAGCCTGAGGGATGACGGCGAGAAGGGGGCGCTGCTCTCTGGGGGGCGCGAGGCGGAGCTAGGGGTGAGCGCTGTGTGAAGTGCAAAAGTAGGAAAAGTGACCAAGGACTCTGTCCCTTTCTCTCCGGCCCGGCTTTCGGGAGCATCCTTTCGCTGCGGGCGGGGCCCATTCCAGGAGCGCAAGGGCTGTTGGCGGAGCGCCAGCAGGGCCGCGCTCGGGACGGTGGGCACAGGTGTCTGGGGGGAAAAGGGAGTGTTTTCGTGCCCAGCTCTCCGTGTCTGGGACTCCGGAATGCTCCCTCCACTCCACGCCACCTCCGGGAGGACTTCAGCCTTCACGGATGATGTCAGTAGTTGTGACCAGGCGGAAGACATGGGGCGAAGGAGCCTAGAAAGTTTGAGGGCCGCGGTCTCCCTTCCTCTCGGGCGTCGCCTCTAGGGTCGTCCTTCCATCTGGCTGTCGCGGAGGAGGCTGTGCCGCCCTCGGAGGCAGTCACCTGCGGTGGCAGTCAAGGGCAGCTTTCTGATTTCCTCCGTCTGGCTTGAGACGTCCCAAGCTAGATAGTAAAGACAGTCTCCTGATTCGGATACACTGTGAGAGAGAGAGAGTCGTTAAAGGAAGAGAATCTCCTGAAAGGTTAGGGGACATAGGTTAGTGTCTCCCATAAAGTTGTAAAAAAGAATATAGCAAATGCTTATGTTGGCCTGATGTCGTGTTTGGGAAAAGAGGAGAATCGAATGCTCAGCGTGGAATTCTCACAAAGGCTTCACCTGGTGAAGATGTTTTGAAATGTGTCTTTACTCCTTCAAGCCTTCTTTGATTAGGTGTCACCGACGATCTGTTTTTCGTAGTTTGTAGATGCCATTTGAAAAAACCCCTGTTAAAACCTCAGCGTGATTTTCTGCTTCCAAAATTTTAAATTTTACTCTTAAAATCGCATTTTGTTGTCATTTATCCGCTTTCCAGTTGCCTTTCACTGCAGATTGTTATGACAAAGACAACCTAATTGCAATTGTATTACACCAATCATACTTTTGTCATTTTAGTTTATGAGATTTTAGTCTCGCAAGTATAGATTTGAAATGTTTCCCATTTTGTATCTTCTGTCTTGGTAGAACCAAGGCTGTAAATAATAGCATTCTGTTTTCTCTTGTAAGAAGGTAGTAAAATAGGACGCGTTAAATTCAAGTTAAATTAAAATTTCAAAACCCACCAAACCGTTAAACTCATCACTTACTTGGGTAAGTAGTGAAACTCGGACTGACGCCGAGGCAATTATTACCTTTTATTCTTCTCAAAATGGAAAGATTTGGAATTTCATGTGATTTAGAGGTGTCATTGATATACATGCAGGACAAGTTTTATATTTCATTTGATTGCCATAATGACACTGGGACAAATATGACCACAGGTGACATAACTGTATTTTTCCAACATAGTAATCTGTGCTTTTTAATTTTTTCCCAATTAATTAAAATCTCCATTTTACTTCATGAATCGAAACTCTCTGTATGACATACATATATAGATATATGGACAGAATATATATATTTTTCTGTGTGATATATAGAAATATATGTAAATATATATGAAATAGTTGTATACAGAGCATCTACCACATATGTTTACTATCCAAGTGTTTGAGACACAAAGGTGAAGAAACCAGAATCCCTGCTGTTATTGGAAGATTCTTAATGTTTGTGAACATTTACTAATGTGCCAGGTGTGGTGCTAAAACTACAGATATATCGCCCGATCTACAATTTATATTTGTTACAAACCTCTCAAAAGGTTACAATTCTTTCTTAGGGTTATATTTTTAGTAAGTAATAAGCCCAAGAACTAGGGATGGAACTTAAATGACCAGAGTTCAGAGACTGGGCTATCTTCGTTAAAACCTGCTAAGTCAATGAGTTTCAGGTGCAATGAGGTGTCTGGGAACCGAAAAGCAAACTGGAAGAATCCACAGAATTCAAAAGGTAGTGTGCTCTACCTATAAGACCTTAGGTTTTCAGAGTAGTAATTAATTCCTGGAATCAGCTCAAAGACTCCCCTCCCCCAGCTTCCTGGCTGTATCACCTTGGATACAATATTTAACCTGTTCCCATAGCATATATGCAAACTTTCAACACAGTTCTGACACATAATAGGCAATTGTTGTCAATAAATAGTTGCCCAAAATATGCAATCAACGCTCCAAGAGTGGGAGGTGCATTGTGCCGTATGGGCAAAATAGATGTCTCATTCTGACTTTGAGATAACTCGGGAAGAAATCACAGAGAAAGAGAATCTGAACTGAATTTCTATGGAGAATCTAAAGATTATCAACCAGAGAAAAATTATGTGCAGGATATGAGAGAGCACATGTCTTTCTAGATGCTGCTAAAAATTTGGGATATTTGGACTTCAGGTCGTACGGGGTGAATACTGGAAGTGAGGCTGGAAAGTAGAGCAAGGGGTGACTCCACACTGCCTCAGTGGGCAGTGGGTCTTCCTCTCATAGAAATAGAGAAACAGTGGAAGGTTACAAGCGAAGGGGCCAGATGATCAGATTTGCCCTTAAGAGCCAAAATCTTGACCAAAAATGCTGTACAACGAGGCTGGAGGCAGGGGGAGAAATTTCGAAGCTGTGGAAATAGTCTGGGTAAGAAATGATTGTGTGAGCAAAACTAAGAGTAAAATTTTCCATTTGGATTTCTAGCTCAATTTTTTTTAAAAAAATTAAGTTTCTAGCTCAAATAAGCACTAGCTGAATTACAAAATTGGCAAGCACAAATTTACTACAGCACTATTTCTCATAGCAAGACACAAAACAACCCAAATGTCCGTGTATAAGAGGCTATCTGAGCTGTGGTACATATACGTAGTGGTGTGCTATATGGTTGTACAAGAAAAGAGAAGTGTCTCTGTCTATTACCATAAAGTGATCTCAAGGACATAGTGTTATGTGAGGAAAAGCAATACAGAAATGTGTATGGTACACGAGCATTTATCGACTGGGACGAGTATAAGCAAATAAACTTTCCATACCTACCCTGAGTTGCGTTACTTCAATTGATTTTAAAATAGGCCATTCTGGCTTATTCTCTCTAGTAGGACATCTCTAGAGACAAAAATAATTACAATAAAAAATTCTTTACTGTCTTCGCTAATTATAATGTTGATACTAGTATCATATTTTTGATACATGTTTAAAATCAAAGAGGATAAAGTTTAAAATCTGGTAGTTGTGAGTCTGAATAGGAAGTTTAAGTGTGAATTATCGTTTTATGTTTTTATAATATGCATCTTATAACTTCACAAAGTAAGAAGGCTTAGAAATAATGATCAAGCTATTAAAAATTAGCATTCTTGGTATTCAATTAGTGGTATCTACTACGATTTCCCAGTGAAAGATATCAGAACTTTTTAAGGAAATAACTCACTCCATGTCTTGGGAAAGAATTGTTCAATGTGAGCCTGGAATATCTCATAATAACAAAAAGTAAGGAAGTTATTATAATCGCTGAGATAAAGTCAAAAGTTTTCAGGAGCCAACTGGGAGATGTTTTCATTGTCTGAAGATGGGAAAATTTAGACATCAAAAGGAATAATGACTGCAATATATTGTAATATATCAGTGTTAAATTCATGAGTCCATAAGGATGGTTTTTATTTTTTATTTATATATATTTTTTTGAGTTGGAGTCTCACTCTGTCACCCAGACTGGAGTACAGTGGCCGCTCCCGGCCACCGCAGTCTTGACCTGCTGGGCTCTGGCGATCCTTCCGCCTCAGCCTTCCAAGTAGCCGGAATTACAGGCATGCGCTACCACGCCCGACTGATTTTTTGATTTATGGTAGAGATGAGGTCTCGCTGCCCAGGCGGGTCTCGAACCCACGGGCTCAGGCAATCCACTCATCTCAGCCTCCCAAAGGCACGGGATTACAGGCTGAGCCACCAAGCCCGGCTATGGGATGATTTTTAAAAGAGAGAAGTCTCATTGGATTCTTTGGTATGATTCTAGGGAAGTAACCCATAACTTTTTCAAAAAAGTAAACTTTTCATCTGGAATACTTTTTATTTACGTGAGTTGTAAATCTACTACAGAGAGTTTCCCTCTACCCCTTACTTAGTTTCAGTTTTCCTCAATGTCATCATCTTGCATTACTCTAGTACATTTGTCAAAATGAGAAAATCAACATTGGTATGTCATTCTTAATAAAACTCCAGATTTTATTTAGATTATATCAGTTCTTCCACTAGTGCTTTTTTTTGTT